CGACAATTAGGAGATTTTTTTGATTTTTTGACAATATTTACAATATTTATTCGTTTTGACTAATTTAATTTTTCTTTTATTTGAAATATTTTAAATTGCTCTAAAATCAAGTAAGGTTTAACAGCAATTGTGTAAGCTGTTATAATCAGAAACGGACATTTATAAACTTCCTTTGAACATATACTAACATTTTAAATAAATGAAACTATTAATTTTTTCCGTGCATCCCCACAAAGGACACGCATGGCCCTAAAGCCACTAAAGGACTGGTTGAATGGTTATGTATCTCTGCTCTTGACAAGTGAAACGGGTAGCTCGACCTGGGTATTTTTAGAGCCACTCGTTTGGCTGGCCAAACCATCCAATACGGGACATCACATCAAATGTGAATCCACTGGCAGTAGGTACCCCTTAAAGGCCGCCTTTAATTCCAGCTCTCCAGCAATCCAGCTCTGGACCATAAAGCAGCGCGAGAGGAAGTGAAGCCATTTCTAGCGCATCCTGGCCAACGGCGAACATCCTGCGTCAGGACCCGCCAGAAATTGTAAATTTTCGCTGCTCGACAAACAAAAGCGCAGCAGGATGTGCAAGCCAAACAGTTGCTGAATTATATTGTCAGTGGGCAGTCAGTATATATGTACATGTATATGTGTCTGAATTTTTGTGTGGAAATAACTGTGGCTTTTGCCCGATCTCCGGCTAATGCTTTTAACTGGTTCGCTTGGCTTTGGCTCAATTGATTTTTGGGCTAAGCTGGAAAACCGAATGACCAACAAATCAAATAGCGGAAAACTTTTATTTTCCAAAAGTTCTGCTCATGTTTCCGTCGGATGGTTGGTTCGTAGTTCCAACTGCTTCTTGGCCAGCGCCACCATCTTGGGCCCCATAAATAAGCCAGCAAATTGCATGCTTCGCTGCCTCATTGGATCCCTAGAAAAAAAAGGGCATGGCAAGTGGGCTAGCAAATTGATGGCTTTGTAGCAGTTGTGGTAAATTTGCTGGCCCTTTGGGCGGTTTGTTGGTCGCCTCTTGTTTCCTTGAACTCTGACCGGCAAATTGTATTTATGCGTTAATTATTTCATTAACGCCCCATTGAGTAGCGCCTTCTTGGGGTCAGGGGTGAGGGGCCATTCCATTTCATTCCCCCTCTCAAATTATTCCAGGCTATTGCATTCAAGTGATTTTGATTCTTGGCCATGGGGGCGTGGCCCTGCCCCCGCCCCTTTTTTATGTGATGTTGCGCAATCGAACGGAAACGGAATGTGAGGCTCATCGAAGGGCCTCATTAGGGGACCGATGGGCAGGAAATCCCACGAGCCATGTCCAAATGTATTTTAATTAAATGCATTCAATTGAGGCAGGAGAATTGGGAGTGAAAGCTGCTTTCCTCACAGCAATCAATGACTTTCCGTATCGGGAATTTAATGAACACACTTAAATTAACTCTCGGACAGGTGGAAATTCCGCACATTTCATTTCCCAAGGTTATGTTGTATTCAATTTGCTTTAAAAATAAATTGTGTAATTCAGACATGTGTGAAGGAAGTAAATTTAATATTTGAACCAATTCAGTATTTGAATGGAATACATATAAAGATAAAAACCCAAGACCTCATTAAAAATTACACATAATACGAACAGTGTTTGCTCAACACGAAAACAAATAAAAGCAGTCTTCTTAAATTGAAAAAGTGAAGGATGGTACATTAAACCGCAGATCATATTCAAAATGAAACCATTTATATATTTAATGAGATATCATATACATACAAATATCCGTAAATAAACAACCCGCAAGTCTTTTATTTACTGCCATCCACTCTTACAAATAATGATAACGCACAATTTCTGTCATTAAGAAGCCCCCATTACTTTTCCTCAGAAAGGTAAATAGAATGGGAGGCAGGACTTCTCGAGGGGCAGGTAAAAATAAGCTGAACATCAGGTGTAAGTAAATGAAAGACCCAGTAAGAATGAGCGAAAAGTGAAACGCCAACATGAGCAGCTCATAAAAACTCAACAAGGCGAAATGTTTAGGTTTAAGTGGGCGTCCCTTGAAGGGGGACGAGATGGGTGGTTGGGTGGCTTACCGGAACAAAGCCGCCTGCATGCCAAGGCATGCCCTGCCTGCATTTAGCTAATCCACAAGTTTAGCACAACAAAGGCAAAAGGCAAGGAAGGCACAACTCAAGGTCCTTGCGACGATGACTACGAGTGGAAATGGCCGAGGACGAGGGGACCGGGACTGCTGTGTAAGTGGATGCGGGACGACGACTACTTGACAGTCTTGGCTTGGCTTTGTTTCTGTGGCCCCAAGCAGACCCTGCACCACCCAGCATCACTCTGAGCCACCCTGTACCAACCGAAAACAAAAATGGAAGAAAACACCACTTCCCAAACGCTGGCTGCATCTTAAATTGTGTTTCTTGAATTTATATTTCTTGGCTGTCTGGGAGCTCAGAATTTTTAGCTCTGACCTGCTCGCATATGTAAATTGATGGCTTTGTTTGTCTTTGGGGCTCAGCTTCAAATTCGTAAATCCGTTGAAAATCCTTTTTAACTTTTAATGATGGGGCCGCTGTGCCGAAAGTGGGCCAATGTTTTCCCACGGGATTTGCGTAAAGTATCTGCTAAAAGCTTTCCCCATTCCGTTTGACTGTCTTCGTTATTTGGCCAAAAAGGCAGCGCTAGCCGCATCGCCATCGCCATCGACATCCACATCCTTCCTATGCCCTTCCCATTTTACCCAGGAGTCAACATCAATTTCGTTTTCATCAATTTCGGTCTGAGGAAAATGGTGGAAACGGGCGGCTGAAGCTGCTGACGATTCCAACATGGCCGAAAACGAGGCCAAGAAAAGCAAGAGAGAGAGAGAGAGAGAGAGAGCTAAATATATATAGACAGAGAGGAATATAAGACTTTGGGAACTTGGGAATGTTTAACTTAGTTTTCATTAATTTGTTGTTTTAGTTGGACCACTTATAAAAAGTTGGCTTAATCTTTTGGCTTTCGGCTGACTACAAATTAAGTTGAGTAGTTGGTTGAGGATTTTTAGCTCCATACTTTCCTAATTGAAATGATCTTTAAAATAAAGCCAATAAATCATATTGTTATACAAGGAACCCATACAATTCTTTCCTTTTTCTTTATACAATTTTTACAACATATAGTTAGCATTACCTATAATTTGCTATACTATTTTCCATACTGAAATCATTCAATCAATGCTGAATTTCACCTATCCCATTTCTACAGAAATTTATTTGATTTAGTTTTCATCATTTGTTATTATGTTTATTTTTACATTTCGAGACTGGTATTTTTTATGTTGAAATTTGTTTTACAAAGAGCCCATACAATTAATTTCCTTTTTGTTGATTTGTATTTGCTATACATTTTCAGTTTATTATCCTCACTGAAATATGTCTTAGAATGAAACCAATAAATATATACCGCTTTGTTAATCAATTTCTGAACTGTCTTAAATAAAAACCTCAAATGAAAAATCAAATACTCATTAATGATTGATTGGATTGGTAAGGATGTTTATTGATTTAGCTTCATCAACCATCGCTTGGTTGGCAATCAAAAATGGTTCATAAAAGGAAACCATTAATTTAAAACAGCATGAAAAGCTGGTTCGTTAACCATTTTCGTCGGAGTTTCCCCTAAACATTTTTGGGAAACTCATTGATTGAGCTGAGCTACACACTTATCCTTGATTTCTTATTACACCTTTTTGGCACTCAGGGAGCATTCATTTTTAATTGGCCCCGTTGCTGTGGCGCCAGTTAGTAATTCGTATCCGTAATTTGGTTTATATGTATTTGGTTATGCGCCCAAGACAAATACTCGCAATTATCAGAGCATAAGTAATCGGGTATGTGGCTGCTGCACACCCGCACCCACGCACTCCTGTTTCCGGCCAAACAAGGACACACTCTAGAAACCTAAAGCACGTGCGCAAATTATCTTCAAGGCAAGAGCCTGAATAAAATAACAGCTGCAAACAGACGCACAAACAAATGACGACGATGGCAACACTTCTCTGAGGGAAGTGCCCCATCCCAGGACACGGACTAAACTCATTAATTATCGAACAGGCAACGGAGTGGCAGACAGGATGCAGGATAGTGCCATGAATACGGCATTGTATATGAAATCAACTTTGCCAATGAGCATCAAATATGCTTTATGTGCCTTTCGATTGTTCGTCCTTAATGATGGGTCGACTTAGCACAAATGATTTGCCATCAATGGATCTGATTATTTATGGTTCGTGTGCATGGCGTGCGCAATCGTTTTTGGAACCTAGATAAATATGAACACAACAGGTATCTCGAAAAAGGGTATGATTTCAGTTTTTCTTTCCCCCTTTTTTGCTTGCGAACTTTGTTATATAAATATTTATGACTTGACTGCTTTGAATATGTCTTGAAAAATTGTTTTGTTATCAAAGATTTATTGCCAGTTCTAATTATTTTCGAAAAAGCCAATACATTTATTTATATTACTTAAAATAATAATAATAATAATAATAATAATAATAATAATAATAATAATAATAATAATAATAATAATAATAAAAATAATAATAATAATAATAATAATAATAATAATAATAATAATAATAATAATAATAATAATAATAATAATAATAATAATAATAATAATAATAATAATAATAATAATAATAATAATAATAATAATAATAATAAATCATTATTATAAATAAACAAAAGCTTTTATAAATAGTGCGTTAACAGTTTTTGTTTTTAAATGTTATAATTTGAAAATGTTTTGAAAATTTTCAAAATTACTTAATAGAGCAGATTTACACCATTAAAAGTATTTTCTTATTGTATAATATTTGGCATAATCTATGGGTAAAATTCATGTAACAATTGATTCGATTCCCTTACTATTTTTTTTAGTAAGTAAGTAAAAGTCTAGTCTAGTAAGTAAAATTTGTAATAATTTTTTCCCCATCCAAGTCAGCACAGCTAATAATATCAAATGTTTGGCTTAAATAGTGCTTATGGCTGCCGTTTTTGTGGCAATATAGTCAGCTACAAATCCTCCAAAGTAAACGAGACGCCCTATGATGTCCTATTGGCCAAGACATTTAACTTGATACCAGAGGACAAGGTTAGAGTTACGGAAGGGGAGAAGTTCCAGAATCTGCACTGCTCCAAGTGCCGCACGGAGTTGGGTCTCCACTGTCTGGAGAGTGAAAAGAATGGCCAATTGAAAGGACTGAAGCTGCTCCAGAAGGTTCATCTGTTGGTGTACGACTCGTATGAGGTGCCACTTGAAACGTCCTCATCTCTTGACTGATGTGGCGTGTAAAAATAAAGTTTTCCACAAACAATTAACAATTTGGGTGACATTGCTGCCATGCCTGGCGTTGACATTTGATCCCCCGAACTCCTTTTGATGCGCACACATGTATTATATACAAGCTTGTCACTTTGGAATGTTTTGGCAAGCGTTAAAATCATTTGCTCGACTTGCAACTGTCGGAGCATTAATCACAATCAATCGAAGCATTCCATGGCCCCAAATCGTGCCAGACGACATGCGTCAGCCGAAGTCGCTTTCCCATCCTTCACAGTGCCAAACAAAAGTCTGTGCCAGGCACGTGAGAAACGGCAAGTGGGCCACCGCCGCGCTGATGCCAAAATAATTTGCACTCTGCGCTGTGACAGTTGGGCGACAGCTGCAAAAGGCACATCCTGCCCCCGACGGAAATTAAAAAGCTCCTCCCAGCTGTCTTCAAGTCACAGACATATAGTACACCAACTAACCTCTCAGTGGCTCAAAGGCAAGAGCAACAGGAACAGCAACAGCAAAAGAAAAAGGCATTTTAATGATTTTAATTAACTGCATGTTTGCCTGTAATTACAACGGCAACAATGCAATTACGGCACATGTACAGCACTGGGTGGCCATAAACAACGGCACGGGGTCAGAGGGCAAGGCCAGCTGGCCTGGCCGCCTGTCTTCTGTATTCTGTCTTCTCACCAGGCCTTCCCATCCCCCATTCCCATCCCCCATCCCCCATCCCCCATTCCAGGTTCCAATGCCCCTGTCAAAGTTCCTTCTTCTCCTCCGCCTGGGTGACACACCTCGGATGACAGAATAATTACATGCAAAGCCACCAGGCCCCTCTTTCATTTGCTTTTGCCTCCCAGCTGGAGGTTGTTCCTGGAGAGCTTCTGCAGAGTAGTGCATCATACTGGGAGGGACATGGATGGCGAAAAAAGGGGGTTTCGTGACAGCAGAATCGAAAAAACGTTTCACTTTGCAAAAATTTAATAGGTGGGCAATAATATCAATCGGAATATGTGACGAAAAATACTATTTTTTAATAATTTACAGCATACTTTAAGGGATTTCAGTTCAACATACTTTTTTAAAGCCTCGTTAAGGATTGTATTTTTAATAAATTGTGGTTGTTTTTAAATTTTGTTGAACATTTCAATTTACAAAAAGTTACCTTCAATTTATAATTTACATGACAGTAAATGAAAAGTCTTAAGGTTATGCAAGAATATGTGTTGCAGGAGCAACAAACTTCCTTTAAAATGAAATAAACAAACAAATCTAAGAAACATTATGTGCTAAATTACAAAAAAAATTTTCTTTTCACAAATCATAAAAACCTAGAGAGCATTAGCATCAAAAACTACAGCTTTTTTGGTGTAAAAAAATAGTATAACAAAAACCTAATCCCCAACACACAATGCAATTATGTATATAAAATAACAAACTTATATGTATTTAATATATTATATCGGCATGACCAAACAGCTTAAACTAAAACTAGATACCAGTGCTGGAACACTTAAGTGACATCTTAATCGTCACTTTGGTTAGCAAAATGTGGACAGTTAAAAAGTATCACCGGTTATTTCTCAGTTTATTAAATTAAATGTCGACCCCTTCGAACAACGTTCTTGGCCTTGACACTTATTACTAATACGACATGTGGCCCTGCTGCAAGGTACAAGTGTAATTATAGCCAGCAAATGTCCTGTCGCTGTCCTGAGTGTCACCGATGCCGGGCAATACTTGTTGCTCTCTGCCTGAGGCGGCGGGCATGCGGAAAGTGGGCGGGACCGGCTCTATTGTGTGCTCAGTGACCGTAAATATCAAGTAATTTTCTGCAATTTTTCTACGCTGCCAATTGATTTATGGCTGGCTGCCGCCATGGCCTCCCATTGCCACATTGCCATACCGCCATTCCGCCCTTCCGGTCGCCCACTTTGCTTTGTTTGCACAACAAAAGACAAGCCAAGTGAGCGTTGTCCTTCCACAATAACAACGAAAACATCACCAGGAACAGGAGCAGTAGCAGAAGCAAAGGACTTGTATGCATGTTGAGTCTGTGGCTGTCAAGTGGTCGCCATTTGCCATACGCCAGGCATAAAAAGAAAGGTTACTATCACCTCTATATTGTAATTCGCATTATTAAAAAAATATTAATATAATAACTTTATGCAACATAAATTTGGCAAACAATTACTATTACTGTTCAATGCCATATACTTTACAACAGCATTTTGTTGGTCTAAAACAATTTAATTTGCAAAACTTACTGCACTGGTAAGAAATAGAACAGTATAAAAAATATCCTATTACCGAATTTAAATATAAAATGTAAAATTTTAATTAATTTGAAATATATTATTATTAAAATAGTTTGCTTTTGCCAGAAAAAGCATTAGGGATCGTCAGCCCTTACCCGCAAATACCCCGAAAACCGCCCACCGCAGCACTCCAAGCCGTCCCGGCATGGGGCGTGGCCATTTGTGACGTTTAACAAGAAAATTCGTTTACCGAATTTCATTTACATTTCTTTGTCGAAGAGCAAAAAGGGCGAAAATGGAGCGAATAAAAAAAAAAAGAAAGTTAACAAGAAAAATAATTTGCCTGCGCAAGCGAAATTTAGTATGCCCTGGACGAGAACCGTCTCGATGACCTCGTCTTAATAAGGCGTTGCGTTACTCATACGCCATGTGGTGCACAGCAAGGATTCAGTAATGTGAGCCCAATGTGGAGGCAGTGGACGTAAACTATTTATGCATGTACAATGTACATACTCTGCAACAACACGATTGCCCACCCCTGTCCACTTTCCCCAGCACTTTCCCCTGCACTTTCCGCATGCAAATGGAGTAATTTGATTTTTTCCCGGACCTTGGCTGCAGGAATCCACTCCCGGGAACGGGTAAAACACAGGGGCGGATGCGGCGGGATTGGGGCCCCTAATGGGTTGACAAGTGCGGAATAATCAATCGATACTTTGATCGTCAAAGTGGCTTCAGTTGGTGTAGTTAGCAGACGATTTTATTAGACCTCAAAGTAATATATTGCCCCTGGCAATATATTTATATAAATTTAAAGTTTTAAACTTAAACTGTTTAAAACACTCAATTTCGATACATTTTACTTTTGCGATAGTTTCTTATTAATTAGCTGATATAGTTTTAGAAGCAAGTTTTTATAAAATATTTTTTTGTAATAATTTTTCTGTATTCTAACATACATATTTATTTATGAACTAAAGCTTTGAAGTGTAAAAGTGTGACTAGGGTACTAATAATAAGTTATGCTTATTTTATATATAATTGTGATTAAATTTGGAGAAATTTTCACTCTTTAGTTTGATTATTTTGAGAAAAATATTTCTTCTGAAATTGTTGTATGTATTATGTATGTATTATGCAAAAAAACAATGGTATTGAAAATAAGCCTTATGTAAGTTGAACAATACATAAAAGCGATAAACTAAAACATTATTTGTGACGTATATATTACTTTCTTTGGGGTTAAAATATAATACTTCATTATTTTTTCACTTACCCATTACTTAAGTACCAGATAGTATACTTCGTATTATGTAAGAAGTTGCGAAGTCCACCCCTTCAAACTTATCTATTCTTAAAGTACCAATTAGATTTTGTGTGGGCAGTCGTGCAAATGAGCTGGCATCTCTGGGCAGCCTTTCGGCTTTTGGCCTCAGTTACCCCCTTTGGCAGCGGATCATGTAACATGTTTATGGCCATCTAGTCAACTGCAGCCATATTTTCATTTCATTTCGGCCGTGTCCCGTAGCTGAGTGCCATTCTGGTTGGCTCGTAATTTCAAACCGTTGCACTGACCGCAGGGAAAAGTGTAAGTGGAACTCTGATGGGATGGGGTTTTCGCGAACCAACCGCAGAAAAACGCGAAATGTTGACCTTTCGCCAGGCTTTAACCGTCCACAAAGGACATTAAAATGCAAGCAGTGCCACGGATGTGAAAAAAACAGGGCGAGATGGTGCATTTGGCTTGCTCACTTTATGTGCAGATTTTTCCTCCGTTTTCCGGGTTTTATTTATGACCCCCAAGGGCAGGCACACATGCAGCTCCACCTTAGAGATTTACGACTGGAGTCTTATTAAGCATAAATTAGGAACTGTCTCCCTTTCTTTGCCTTTCGCTCTTTTCCAGACAATTTCCTTTTCAGGGTAAACGAAATCCAATTTAGACACTTTGAAGTCACTGGGCTTAATCGTATTTACGGCAATCAAATGTAAACACTTCACCCAAAATCTTGTTGAGTGATGGCAGTGCGTATAAGAAAATATTCATTGCCATGAGCTAGATTGAAATACTTAAGTTTGGGTTTTCTTACAGCTGATCAATGTGAATGCCCTGAAATGAGTAGAATTTTCACGCTTCAATACCAACAATAGACATGGAAAAGGTATCCCAATTGTGTGAGCCAATAATGTATGCAAATCCAATTTAGCGCTCCATAAGCTGTATTAGATACCAAAAGTTGACACGCGCCATGTGTTTCCACATATATATGGTTTGTCGAATGATTGACAAACTGAGGGAATGACAGGCCGAACAATTAATGCAACCACTGTAATTTAATTTAGTGGGTCAGTCCAGGAAGTCACCCACTTGTGGACAGGTGAGAATGGAGCTCATTCGGCAATAGATATCAATCAATGGTTGGCTGTATTATTGATTTCACTACCTTACCCCCTTTCCTTTTTGTTCATTAAACCGTAAGCGCCACATGTGCAAGCTTTTAGACAAATGGCCAAACTCGGTAGAAACTCTTTTTAACTATGGAATCAAGGGTTATGAGCATGAATAATATTGTACTTGTTGTAACTTTATTAAGAAAATTTTATAATTTATTTATGAAAAATATCCATAGCAGTTTATTTAAAAAATTTAAAAGATACTTTAACAATTTACAAAAAAAAGTCATTTTTCCCCATGCTTTTATTCTTTGAATGGGTGAGTCTTGTGATATTTCTATTATTTGTTGTACTATTTTAAGAAATTGTATTTAATATTATTAAAAA